CTGCTTAGCCCCTGCATCTCTCAGTCTCCTGGATTCCTCCATCTGATGCCATTTCTATATTCCATTTCCCCCCCCTTCTAGAACCTGCAGTCATGGCAAAGAGGAAATGTGAGCTTCCAAGTCACATAAACAACAATGAAAATGCCCTTTAGTAAAAGTGGTGCATTTCTGTTGATTTCAATCTACAACCTAACTACTGGGAAACAGAGGGCTTTCAGGTCCAGAATACAGTTTCTCACATTCTCTTCTCCGTCTTCTTGTCCATTTCCAGATACAGAATATTCTGGAAGTACAATTATCAGCATTCTGTCTCTTTGTTTTTAGTATATTTCAACCAGCAACAAAGATAAGAGCCGGACAGAGTACATGATTTCAGTTTGAAGTTTTTTTCTGAAGTTTCAAAGGAAGACCATGCCTTTGTGATCTGTTTGATGGCAGATCTGCCTTTGTTCTGTTAACCGAGCTTTTAAAGAAACTTTGAAATGGGAAGAAGGCAGCAGGCAGCTGTTCTGATTCACTTCTAGAGAGGTCCTAACCTCAAAATACATGAAGCAGGAGAAAAAGAAAGGAAGGATGCAGCTCAGGATGTCAGATTGTATCCAGTTCAAAATAGAGATGGAGTTTGAAAACAAATAAGCCCCAAACCCAGAAGATTTAGTTTTTTCCCTTTTGCCTTTAAAAAGTTATGAACATTGAGATTGGTCAGTTGAAATGGATGGAAATGTGAACATATGAAGATACAACATATTTTTCTAGCTCACTGCCTATTCCAGCTGACAGTAACCCACTGGGGATTTGGGGTGGAGTACTTCTCAGCATTGCTGTTTAAGATTTTTGTAGCTGGAAATGCTGGGAAATAAATCCAAGACCATCTGCCATGCAGATCATGTGCTCTGTCGCTGAACTATGTTTGTCTACTTAGGGAAGGAGCAATACCAATTTAATAGGTTTCTAACTTGAAGAATAAAAGGAGCAAAGGAGTGGGAGGCAGACAAAAGGAATGCAGGAGCCACCTTAAGACTAAATGGTTTTTATCTTAGCATGTGCTCTTGTGGATATAAACCCACCTCTCCTGCATCTGAAGAAGTGGGTTTATATACACAAAAGCTTAGTCTTAAAGGTTCTGCTCATTCTTTCTCCCCACGCTTCCCTTCTCTTTCTCCCTTTTTATGCTGCAAGAGACTGATACAATTACTTGAAGAACTGTGGTCATGGTTGCCCTTTTAAGCTAAAACATCGTCTGATACAGCAATCTAGCCAAATGAAAGTTTAGTGATTTTTTTTTTCTGACATGTTCCAAATCATAGTTTAATATTTCAACATCAGTTACTTGGGGCAGCCTGATGTTTGAAGTTGAAATCCTCATAGAGCTTGAAAATTCAGTGCCCCTTTGTCTTGGCAGGCTGGTGATCTGCAAATTTGACTGTTTCCAGATTGCTGCACCCCATATTATTCAGTGGTGGAGTGAGCATGTTGATACACTGATGTGTCCTCATGCATATTGCCCCCTTAGAACAATATGGGGTGCAATCCTTCTCGTTTTTGTAACTGTGGAGGTGGGGGGTGGAACCAGACCTCCGCAGATGGATAGAGTCCACTATGCTCAGATCTATGCAGTTCTATCTGAAGTTTTTGTATTCATGATACATTTGACTGTCATCCCCAAATGGTTTCCATTTTGGCATTCATCTTGAGATGTTAACATGAAAGGAATAGGAGAGGCGAAATAGCTGTCAACGAACTTGCCCAGCAGTCCCCAACTTCATAGGTATGCAACAGATATTAACACACATGAAGACCACTCACTAGGTAAGAAGGATTTCTGACAATCAGAAGAGAAAGCCACTTTCCCTTTTTTCAAGATGAAGTCTTTCTTGTTAGGTTATCATATTATTTTTTGAAGTCAATATCTTGTGGGGCAGCAGACCACAGAATAAACATTCAAGGTGCTTCCTATTACAGTAATACTATGCTGGCTGTTCAATTTGGTACCTTCTTAGGAGCATTCAGCTTCCTGGGGAGAATTCTCAGGCAACAGTGTTTTTCTGTTCTTGTGCCAGGTTTTGGGTTTTTACCTGCAGATTATCTCAGTTGGCAGAATTCTGTTGAAGTTACAGCTCTGACTTACTGGCTAACTGGCCATGTTGGTGAATAAACATGTGCACTTTGAATATTATTTGCATGCATAAATTGGCTAGCATGAGAGGGTTTCCCCCTCTTCCTGTATGATCTCTAATTTAGTTAATTATGGCTCTGCCACCTTTAAAGATTGCAGATGCCAGGAAGCAGAACATTAAATGAATGTTTGCCATTAATACAAATTATTGTGTTTTGACAGTTTGCTAATCAGCTAAAAGAAAATTATGCTATTAAAATATGTGTGATTGCCATTTAACCAGCCCTCCAGCTTTTACATAGATGGAAATATTTTTTTTATACCAAAGATTGAGCATTTTGAAAGCAGTATTTTATTTTATTTTTGGAGAAGGGTAAAGTAGGTCATGGAAAGTGAGGAAGAATCAGCATTTTAAAATGTTGTATTATGAACAAATGTGAATTTAATGAGATTCTTTTATTTGTGATGAGTCTAGCTATTGAATCACAAGGTGACACAGGAATGAAGTTTTCCATTTAGTTAATTGATGTTGCAATCCCAAAATGAAGTTCAAATTCACAGTTAGTCTATATTTGATTTATTAAAATAGGATAAATCATTGCATTTCTAGCATATTAAAGACTAACTCATTTTTTTAAAAAAAATATCTTAAGAAAAAGAAGTGTAAAAAGGACATATGCACCTTATAATTCTGCTTTAAAATAGTGCAATCAAGAGTTCAGCTGAGTCTAGATGACCTTTCAGGGATGTTTTGTAGTCTTATGATTTGATTTTAAAAGCTTAAATGACTGGCTCCTGATTGGGTTAAACCAGGGGTAGGCAACCTTTTTGAGCCGGGGGCCGGGTTGCTGTCCCTCAGACAATTGGGGGGCCGAAGTACCAAAAATAAATAAGTAAATAAATAAAAATAAAAAAAAAATTTAAATTAAAAATTAAAAAAATATGCATGCACACTCTCTCAGCCCCAGAAAAGCCATGGCAAAACCCCTGTGGAGATTTTGCCATGAAAACCCCAAGAACAAGTAATAACAACAATAATCAATATCATCATGGCGGGGGGGGGGCAGCGGCGGCAGGACCGCGCCTGGGGCCGGACCAAAGGCCTTGGGGGGCCGCATCTGGCCCCCGGGCCTTAGGTTGCTTACCCCTGGGTTAAACCAATGGTTCTTATAGACATCATAAGAGATATCATATTTTATTGTTACCTGCTTGCATTTTAGTGGAAGGTAGGATATAAATTCAATAAATCAGCAAATCACCTTGCTTTCCCTTCTGAGAATTCTGCGGAAATGTAAGGAATTTTGAGAGGTATTAGAAGAAACCCAGTGAGAACAGAATCAGTCTCTGCAAAAATGTAGTGATGTTGAAAACCTAATGAGGAGGCATAATCCACTGGTGTGTTAGTACAATTATGAGTCTCCTCTTTATGCTCAACTTGTATCTTTCAGTGACTACCGGTCACAATCGCTATATACTGCCATAAGTATCAAAGACAGTGTGCATCTTTAGTTGCAGAAGATGAGGAGGATTATGTTGCTATTGCACTTAAGTTCTACTTAGGGGCTTCATATTAGTTGCTCTGGAAAAGGACAATAATGATAAAAGATTGTCAGTAATGGAACAAGTAAGGGAGGGCAAGCAGTGCATATAGCCCCTAAGGAGGTACTATGGGCCCCAAGGACCTATATTTTGAAACAAAGACCTCAAAATGCACCCTGAACCTCTACTTGTTTTCTTCCCTAATGTATTTAGATCCAAGGAAGGTATTTTTCCAAAATTAGAGGTAAATTCCAGTTTACTTCTAGATTTGGAAAAAAAAACCACTACTTAATTTGTGGTGTTGTGTGGATTTTTCTAATAGTAAAAACAGTTTGGAGGGGGTGAGGTGTCTGTGATGAGTTACATAAGGAGTTATTTTTGAAAGCCTGCTTTTCCTGTCCGGTGCTCCTTCCTGCCTACTGGAGTCATGTAAGGAGACTCTCTGTAACAGGGACCGGCAACCTATTGGAGACCTGGGCTGGTCTCCCGTTGCCCAGGTCTCGG